GGCATCATCTCCGGGCTGCAGGCAGAGTCGGCCCACAGCTTTCGTGTCCGCCCGGGGCACCAGTGCTACCCGGAGCCGGCCGGGGAGCTACGGGCTTGGAGACCTCAGCCTGCGCGCGCAGGCTCGGTCGCCATTAGCAGTATGTTAGCGAGTCAGCAGCGGGCACAGGGAGATGCTGGTTTCTAAGATACTGGGATTAAGAAAGGATCTCCCCCCCCGTAACTGTATTAGTAGAAACACTTGGGACGAAACCTTACTCTAACTGAAGTCAGTAACAAAAGCTCAGGAATTTCAGTGTATCCAGAACCCGCCTCATTTGAAGACGCAAAGATTGCCTTACCAGATCCGATTCATCTAGCCTGATGCCGTGTCGTAGACTGTGATATGTAGCGGCTGCTTCTGAAGAAGATTCCAGGAAGTCCCAGGTCAATTAGTGTATTTTCCATTGCAAAATTTTCTTTTTTTCCTTCATTAGACCCGGGTTCATGTCGTGAAGAAGAAAGGTATATAACCGTCTAATTCCTCTATAGCTTTATTCTTATTGGTCAGAGAAATGTCTGGTGGTTGTATTCTACTAAGCACTTGCTTTCACATAATTCATAAATTAAAAAAAAAAAACTCAATAATATGTCACTTTTAAATTTTGTAGTACATAAAAGGCTTCTGTTTCATTAATTAATTTTAATTTTTTTAACTTTAAGATTTTTTTAAATAAGATTTTATTGATGCAATGGAGAAAGTAGAAATGCTTTCTTTCTACATTGGTATTGCAGTGTGTATATATCATTTAAATAGTGAATTTTTAATATGTCTAGCTCATAAACTAAATGGTCTGCAGATCTTCATAGAGAGTAGTTCTGTATGTATCACTTTAAGCGTGTCCATCACTTGCTTATAAACTCTTTTAATCTCTGCTATTGCTGATTTCAAAAACTGTGCCAGGCACTGGGAAACATGCCCCATGGCGGGGGAGGCAAAATACTGATTTCTAGAAATAGCATTAGAATATTTTCATTTTTCTGTTTCAGTCTCTGTACGTCCTCATCCATATTTACTTTTTAGACTGCCCTTGCACTTTGAACAGGGATTTTCGGTGAGTAGCCCACAGCAATCCCCAGGAATTTTTCCTGGGTTAATTAAAAACCCAGCAATGTGAATGAAGAGTTGAAATTAATATCTCATTTGCATTGCCTAAAATATATTTGCTGATGGGGAATTTTCGCCAACCATTTTTCCGGATGTTCGCCAAGCTCTGCATAGTCATGCTGAAGCCACTTACAGACTTTTCTAGTTTGTCCTATTCTCTTTGTCACTCTGCTACGCATCCCAAAGTAGTCCACACACAGACTTTTAGGGCGTATCTCATTATTAACCTTTGAGATTTTTTGAAACTGTCCATTTTTTGTACTCTTTTTTTTTCTTTTTTTTCCTTGCTGGATGGTTGCTTGTCTGGATCAAGTTCTTCCCTCATCTATACTTTATGAGTACTTTTCAATATTTTTTTGTGAAGACCTTTATATAGACTTCACCAAGACCCCTTTCGTAGATTATCTCAACGTATTATCTTTTAGCCAGTATCTGGTTGATATGGTATAAAAAAAAATAAAAAAGGGTAGAAAGTTGTGCCTTTTATTAAGAAAAATCATGCTGCTTAATCTTTATTTGATCCTGAACTGCTTAAATGAACAGAATATATTATTGGTCCCTTTTAGGTCGCACGATGCGTTGTTTTATTGATTTACTACTTTGCCTAATACTTCCATTGGTTCTGGTAAGGCTTGTTGCTCCGTAGGTGATTTTTTTCCTTCCTCCCCAATATTCAGTTGAATGGGTGCAACCATTTGCAATGGATTTGAAAGGCGTATTTTATATTTGTATTAACTGAGGAGCCAATTTGTGTATTAATTTTGGAGGTATGCTATACAGTTCAGGTGGCCTACCTTGAGGTTTCTGAATGATTTAATTATAAGAAGTCATGTTAAAAGCACTGATTTTTTTTCATCTTTACAGCTAACCACGACATACAAAGAACTCAGCTAGCTCCACGGTACTAAATGTGCTCCTCTTCTCTTCTGTTACTCTCAGGCAGTGCAGTGGATTTACCAGTTCTCTTCCAGGCTTCCCGCTCCCTGGATTTCTGCGTTCGAAGGATGGCCAGTTGGTTTCAATCTCTACCTAAACTTTTCCCTTTATCTACACAGGACATTTTTTCTTGCCTTTCTGCTGTTTAGAAGTACGTGAACTTTGGTAGCAGCTGGGTGAGAGACTCCTGCACAAGTAGAGAATTGCAGCAAGCAGAGTGTCAGACTGGAATACTGATTTTGTTTCAGGTCCCCATTTCTTGCCCTTAAGATCCAAGGGATTGCTTCTTTAGCATACGTATGCACACAAATATAGCATACTAAAGGAAAGGGAGAAACAGTACAGTTTGATTTCAGGCAGCATTTCTTCTTTCCTCCCTCCTCAGGCTTTATAACTCTAAATAAATTTAACTCAGTAAACTCCTGGAGAGCACTTTGTCTTTTATTTTTTTATCTTTATGCCTCTGGAGCACTTAATTCATCTTCTAAGGTATATTCTGAGTGCTGACTGCTGCCCTTTGTGCAATTCCAACTTGTACTGTGCTTTAACTTCTCATCATTCATCTTTATGAGCCAAAATACTGACCCCAAAATGCAGTTCAGTACCACAGATGAGATCTAAATGAAATTATGTTCTCAAACTGATGTCTTTTTTAATCTCTTATGGCAAGTTTATTCCTTGATATGTGACTTAAGACCACACTTAGTAGTTTCCACTAAGTATTCAATTGCAAATGTGCAGTGTATGCAATTGTATATTGTAGTATCCACCATAAGTACACTTCCTTAGAGTGAAATGCAACTGTTAAAAAACAGATTAATTTAGTAATTATAATTGTTTGAGCCAAATATCACTCTGTCTATCTGTAGTAATTTAATTAATTTAGAAGATGCTCGCCTGGATTTACACTCATATAGTTGAGATCAGCATCTCTCAAAATTACTATTTCATCACTATAGACTCTTTCAAGAACAGAGAAATAGGTATGGCCAGGATGTTCTTGAAAATCTGTTTCATTCCGGGTTTTTTGCACAAATGTGGTGCATTATTAATACATTGGGTATTGAAGTGAACATATATCCTCATGCTTTTTTGCTCTCACTAACTTTTCTATTAGCTATGATCATGAAGGGCGTCTGACCAATGTAACACGTCCCACTGGAGTGGTAACTAGCCTTCATCGAGAAATGGAAAAGTCTATTACCATCGACATTGAGAATTCTAATCGGGATGACGATGTCACGGTCATCACAAATCTCTCCTCTGTGGAGGCTTCCTATACAGTTGTTCAAGGTACCAAAGCACACTTCTCAGCACATCTCCTAACCACACACACAACTTGAGAAAGCAATTCACAAAAGATTCGTGTCATTAGTACACTCATGAGCAGGGGAAAAACGTGTAAGGTTTGCAAGAAAAACTCCCATAAAGCTCATTCCTAAAATGACAGGTCTTCAGGACAGGTAAGAGACATTTCACAGTCATGCTTTGTGTCAAATACGTATGGTCATTATCTGCTGGTGTAAGGTAGCCCTGCCGTTACCTCTTGGGTCAGCTTCACTTTACCCACTCGTGTATTTCTCTGTACTTCACCGCAAAATTGGTTCTGGCTTCAGTGCCCCAGAGATGCAGTCTGCTGAATGTTGGCTGCCTGGGGAGAGATCCCAGGTAGCCTCCTACTATTAGAAATTAAATCTTCCAAATTCATACACTACCATTGAATAAAATGTAGAACAGTCAGGGCAGTGGATGATTGCAGAGTTTAGCCCTTCGAGAACACTGTGACAGCCCAAGTACAGCAGGAGAGATCAGGAACACGGTGGTTAAATGTTCGCATAGATCTTTGCAGCACCGCCACCAGGCATTGTATCTGATGAAGCCAAAACTGTCAGTTATCAAAGACAGACTGAAAGGAATTTCGTGAGTGATGTTTCTTTTTTAATTAAGATATAATGTCACTGGACTAAGAATATAATCATCGAACAATATAAATGTCCTCTTGACATAAATGTCAACATTTATAGACTATTACACAGTGACACATCTGGTTAGCAACGACTTTGTTTCTCTTATACCAGATGATTAATTATGTAGATGCTGTCCTTCTGTCAGACAAATATTGATGCTTTGGTGACAGTTGCACACTGTAGCGTTCCGTCCTGGCTGAGAATGGACTTGGCTGTGTCAAACAGCTGGAGAACTGCACGGCCATACCAGTACGGGATTATTTTTATTACTCTTCTCCGACAGCCAAAAGGCCGGGTGTGCGCATCAGGCTAGTGCACTTCTGGTGGGGTGGCAGGGAGGCAGGCAAGTAAAGGGCTGTGGCTGCCGGCTTGCACTGCTGGAGCCTCACACCTTGAGGATTTAAAGCCAAACTGTAATTCTGCACAAAGCCTCTGCTTGGAGGCAGTTTTTAAACAGAGGGGAAGAAAAAGAAGAGGCGCTTACTTCTTCCCACCCGCAAAGAGTCCATCAGTCTTTTTTTTTTTTTTCTTTTTTTTTGTCCTGGAGTTTAATGGTTTGTTGTTTATCCAGCAGTTCAGTTTTCAGGAATTTTTGTTCATATTAGAAATAAATTACGTGGTCGAACACATATAACGGTGCATTTTCATTCACAATTAAGGCTAAAGGGAAAACATAATGAAATAAACACAGTATCTCTCTGCAGGCTCACTGTTACACTACTGTTCTTTACATGAATCAGTAACATCTGTAATTTCCACCATAGTACCACGTAAATGGTAATTACAGGCTGACTTCATTTAACATCAACAGGAGTGCAATAAAAAACCAATCAAATTAAGCTATATGTTTTCTTTATGACTGGAGTAGCTAAATTATTTTCTTTTCATTATTGCTGTAGATCAAGTGAGGAACAGCTACCAGCTCTGTAATAATGGTACTTTGAGAGTGATGTATGCCAATGGCATGAGCATTAGCTTTCACAGCGAACCTCATGTCCTGGCTGGGACTGTGACTCCCACCATAGGACGATGTAATATTTCTCTACCAATGGAAAATGGTTTAAACTCAATTGAATGGCGTCTGAGGAAGGAACAGATTAAAGGCAAAGTGACTGTGTTTGGAAGAAAGCTCAGGGTAAGTAAAGTCTATCATTACAATAATGATCTTTTCTTCTGTGGGCAGAAAATTAATTTTCCATTCTGAAGGATATGTCTTTCCTTTTTTTACTTGTTAAAAATGTACAACTCTGGGATTGTCTTTGGTACGACAGTCTTTTCTTTATTTGAGAGGTCGGTTAACTGCATGGGATCGGCTGCTGCAGTCAGCTATAGAAGCTTCCTTACTAAAGGTATTCCAAAAGATGTTGGTAAAAACAGTATGGCACACTTCCCACAGTTAGTCCTGGGGAGCAAACACCATTACAGCTTGAGCGGTTACGTTCTGCTTCTGTAAAATCCCCCTACGGATTCATCGAGACAGGCATATAGTGTTTATTCCCTTTCCCAAATGGCACGATTGGAAAATAATTGCCATAATTACAAAGTCATAAGCATAGGATAAGAAAGACACTCAGGTCATGTAATCCATCCCCTGCCAAATTAAAGATCTGCTGCAGACGGATTAATCCCATTCAGCGCTTAGCTGGCCTGTTTTTCACCCCTTAAGCATCTAAACTTTTTTGCTGGCTGCTTCAGTGTATAGAGTTTTGGAAGGGCTTTGAGATACTGAGCAGAAAACAAATGTAGCGCTGATCAAGTCCTGGTTCTTTTAATAATTCTTTCAACATCATTGGACATGGGATACAGTTCTGTGTGTTCCAGATGATACATTAAATGCAGTATATATAAACAATTATTTAGTAATTTACAAAAAATAATAAGACTCAGATGTTAAATTTTGGTGTTTTCCTATTGCTTAACATTTAATTCACAGTGTTGAATCAACAAGCCTTTCCTTATTCTCACAAAAGCTCAGAATGCACCTACTGGGGAGAGGGGAAGGTTAGACAAAAAATGGAATGAGATTAGCGGCTAATCCTTAATGACTAAATTTCATGGCTGTGTAATTGATTTTTGATGTGTTGACCTGCAGATGTTGATTATAAATAGAAAATAGATCAGCTCTGCATTTTGACTAGGTGTTAAAAATAAAAATAAATAGGACCCTGAAAGGAAATGGCTGTAATCCTAGCTCTCAATACTAAAAATTTAATAGAGGTACTTGTGGTAATTAGCTGAAGTTAAACACATCTTAGAGCTGAAACCTTGCCTAAGATGGGTTTTCTTGCATCATGTTTATGCAAATCGAAACACTGCTTTATCTAGCAACACCTCAACATTTAATTGTCTGGTGTTAGTTCCTGTAACAATAATCACATATCCATTTAGCTCTTTTAAATGAAAATCACTATGAGATTATAACAGGTTGAGTGGACTGAAAATGAAATTTGAAAATGAGGGAGAAAGCATAGAGTTTATTTGCATCTCATTTATTCTAATTCATCTTTATAAATTGCTTAGTGAATGAAACGGAGCAAGTGTGTTGGAACACGGGGAGCAGGTGGCAGGCAGGGCGGGCTACGGCAGCTGGGAGAGCTGTGGCACGTAGCGGTACAGACGGGGCCACTGCTGCAGGACGAACGCAGCGCCGGGACGACTGCCGAGAGAGCGTGCGGAGCCATCGCCTGAATCCCCGATTCAGAATCAAGTATTACGGAAAGGGACTGTTATTATATGGCATTCATCTCTTACGAGTACTTCCTGGAGCCCATGCCCCTTTTCCCCAGTACTTAAAGGGGGCTGATAAGAAAGATGGAGACAGACTTTTTAGCAGGGCCTGCAGCGACAGGACAAGGGGTAAGGTTTTAAACTAAAGGAGGGCAGATTTAGACTAGATCTAAGGAATAAATTTTTCACGATCAAGGTGGTGAAACCCTGGCCCAGGTTGCCCAGAGAGGTGGTAGATGTCGGAAACATCCCAGGTCAGGCTGGACGGGGCTCTGAGCAACCTGCTCTAGTTGAAGATGTCCCTGCTCACTGCAGGGGGGTTGGACGAGATGGCCTTTAGAGGTGCCTTGCAACCCAAACTGTTCTATGATTGTGTGACTCTTCAGGCAGTGCAGCTACCTGTGCCCCCAGCTCTGCTCACCCGTGCTGTAGGCACATCGCAGTTGCACATGTCGGCCTCCGCAAACATGGCTGGGGCAGCCTTCACGAAGCCGAGAAAGGAAGACCTGCACTTCACCGTTTTGTTATCCCACTTACTGTCCGCTATTATTTAATGCTGTACATATTCAGTGTGCTGCAGTAGTTTCAGATAAAGTCTGGATAAGAAAAATTCCCTTCTGAACAGTTTTTGTTACAGTGCAGCATCACATAAGAAGTGATTTTTGTTGCAAGACCTCTACCCAAGGCACAACGGGCTCGTCCCTACGGCCACTTGTTCAGCAGCAGCCAAGGGACAACCAGATGTGCATGTAGGTAGTGGCACAAAAGAGAAGGGGCTTGTTAGGTGATCTTCAGTCATGATACTTGTAACAGTGTTATTAGTGTTCCCAGGAAGAGTGGGAGTTAGTCATTCTGTCTGGGTTTCTATGTAATTAATATGACACTACAATTACACTCTCTGGTTTTACTTATAAATGAAAATGAAATTACTGAATTATCCAAGCAGGTGCTTCTTTATTCTCCAAGTGATGTTTGTGTGTGTGCATAGCTCTTGTCTGTGTAATCATTAAGAAAACCCTAATACTTTAGTTTTCTATGGCAAAAAAACTAATAACCCTTATAATGTTTTTGAGAAAAGGGAGGATACCTGGAGTCAGACTTTCCTACATGCAGATGACAGTTGCAGTTATGGTAGTGGAGGGAGGAAGCCTCAGAAATCCCAACTGCTTTATGAAGCTTCATAAAACAAAACCAAACAAACAAAACACCAAAAGCTAAAATTTAGTTCACAGTCTTTATGAAAGATTTTTTTTTCTTTTTAGAAAATCTGCCTGTCCTTAAGAAAATGGGATCTTTCAGTCATACACCAACCCCTTAATGTTAAAACTCAATGTTTTTGAGAAGTGAAAGCGCTCTCCTGCTTCCCCAAGAACTCTCTGAAGGAGAGGGTTTTGATTTGTCTCTGTCACCAGGATTGATCCTACACTTAAAAAAATAAAGTAACTCGTTGAGAAAGAATTGATGTTGGGTCTGGCTTCCATTCCGTTACAATGGGAGAGCAGAATATGATTTATTTTGCTGAGGTGTTTTAAAAAAATATATATCTTTTCTTTGAATCACAGGAGAAGTTGTTGCTGGGATGATAACCTTTGGGAAAACCTACAGAAAAGCGCTTTTTCTAATAATTGCCCACTGAGGAAATGCACAAACTGTTAAAGAGCTAAATTTTATTAATTGGAAAAATTAGGATAATGAGAGATAATTTGAAATAATTATTTCTTTCCAAACACAAAAATTTATTAATTTTAAATTTGCTTTCTGTATAACTGAATTCCTGCAGAGTTGGTTGGGATGGGAATTGACTTTACCCCTGCCAGTGAAAATATCTCAGAAAAACTTTTATGTCCTCGAGAAAGGCTCAGGGTTCATTTACATATTGTTTGATGTGCAGTTTAATTTTGGATAAGGGAAAACGTTGCCTAATGAAAGCTACTGTAAAATATAAGCTGAAGAACAAATTCCCAGAAACTGATTAATACTTTCTAAGTAGTCATCGCTCTCAAATTATATCTAATTTAAAGACTTCTACTTTATTAACGATGCATCTACAATTAAATTACTTAAGAAGCTTTATCAGATTACAGCATCAGCCTGAATTCTGTGGCTTAGCCTCCAGTGAATGTATTTATGTATCTCTCATTATAGCACTCTCACTAGAAGCCTCTCCCTTTGGCATTCTTATGCTCCTTTGTATCTGTTTTGCTCTTTTAGTCAAATAAAAAAAAAAAAACATCTGGGACTGAAACACTGCATGTTGTACTTCCATTTGAAAATTGTAACTGAAAAAAAATGGAAAAAAGTCTTTAAACTAATTATTTAGCGTTTTTGTTTCTCAAAACTAGAAGTCCATCTTTTCCAGCCTGTATGATCAGGATTTTTAATCAGAAGAAATGAAACCCATCGCAAGTTATTGGGTTGCTGAGGGATCTGTTGAAAATTTGGAAAGAAGTAAATGAAGAAAACGTTTAAATGAATGAATTCATAAGCAGGGTGTTGCAGCTACAGAATCTAAATGGCTAAACCTCAATGAAGACACAAAATTGTAGTTTCTTCTCTTGTTCTTGGAGTCATTGTAGGGGTAAAGTCTAAGAACTACTGATGGCAGAAGTAGAAAAATTACTTCCATGCAAAATAATTTGTTTCTCTGCTAAGTGCTAACAGTCTGCACTTTGAGACCTAGGTGTGCAGTATGTCTGTCTGTTCTGACAATAAGGGAAGCCTTTCTCTGCAAGGTTAGAGCACCCATGTTGCAGGAAGATGGGAAATAGCCCAGTAAATCACTTCAGAGTTACCTATTCGAATATACCGAGAAGTAGAAAGCAAAAGCCAGTGAACAGGAAGACGTCTTACACTTTTCAAAAATGTGGGGAAATTGAGTTCTCCGTTGCGCACGCTATTTTCACACGGAAAATCCATAGAGGCGTAGTGCCCACTGCTCACTAAATGCAGCCTTCTTTCATCAATAGGTGCACGGAAGGAATTTACTGTCCATTGATTACGACCGGAACATACGCACAGAAAAAATCTATGACGATCACCGGAAATTTACGCTGAGGATAATTTACGACCAGCTAGGACGGCCTTTCCTTTGGCTACCTAGCAGTGGCCTGGCTGCTGTCAACGTGTCTTATTTCTTCAACGGGCGCTTGGCTGGGCTGCAGCGCGGTGCCATGAGTGAAAGAACAGATATCGATAAGCAAGGCAGGATCATTTCGCGCATGTTTGCGGATGGGAAAGTTTGGAGCTACACCTATCTAGAAAAAGTAGGTGATGTTGTTTTACCTTCTGATGTTAGCTACAAAGAGACAAAGTACTATCTATCTGGCTTCCTTTTAAGCTCTATACATAACATACACAAAATATTAGCTAATCTAAAATTTGACATATTCCAGCTGTTAAAAGAATCGTTTTGTACCTGGTCTCAGAATTGCTTATTTTTCAGCCAAACAACTGAATTTGACTAATTTTTAATGGCAAATATGTTGTTCGTGGTTTGTGTCTGTTGATATGTTCCTGAAAGCAGTCAGGCTGCCATACAATGGCATAAACTAACACAATGAATTGTGCTTAATTAAGACCCAAAATGCATTACTGAATCTGACAAAAGGTTCAGGTAAACACGGGTAATTCATCTCTAATCATTATCTATTAAATGAAAGTATGGTAATGCATTTTTTACTTAGCACAAATAAGACACTTCAGTCATAAAAGTGTCTTAAATACTTCAAAATTGCGTATTATTTTCCCTTTTCCTTTTTTGAATCTGTTGTTTTAAGCAAACCAGACCTGATACTCTCTGCTTAGTTTCTCGCATATTTCACAGTAGTAGTGGTGAACTACAACTGCTAGCAGAAAGATAAATCAAGTCATTTATCTAACTCCTCTGCATCCCTCAGAAAAAAAGAAAAAAAGTCCCACTAAAGGGAGGGCAGCTAATAGGTTGCTAACCTACCCTTTCTCTGGAGTGGCAGCATATTGATTTCGAAGTAGCAGATCCTCTCATCTGGCAGCCTGACAATATTCCTGAGCAGCTTTATGCCCCTAACTAATGTGTCTAATTCTCTTTTTATTCATTTAACATTAGAGCCTTCTTCAGTAAGCTTTTCTTTCATGCCTTCTCAGAGGTCACACGCTAAAAGCTAGTAACCGTGTATTAATTTTTTCCCCTATAGTCAATGGTACTACTGCTCCAAAGTCAACGACAGTACATCTTCGAGTATGATTCTTCAGACCGACTTCATGCTGTTACCATGCCTAGCGTTGCTCGGCACAGCATGGCAACTCACACCTCTGTTGGCTACATTAGAAATATTTATAATCCCCCTGAAAGCAATGCATCCGTGATTTTTGATTACACTGATGATGGGCGGATTTTGAAAACATCATTTTTAGGTACTGGCCGACAAGTCTTCTACAAGTATGGAAAGCTATCCAAATTATCTGAAATTGTTTATGACAGCACTGCAGTTACTTTTGGATATGATGAAACTACAGGTGTCCTAAAAATGGTGAATTTGCAAAGTGGAGGATTTTCTTGTACAATCCGCTATCGTAAAATTGGTCCTCTCGTTGACAAACAAATCTACAGATTCTCTGAAGAAGGTATGGTCAATGCAAGGTTTGATTATACATATCATGATAATAGCTTTCGAATAGCAAGCATCAAACCCATAATAAGTGAGACACCTCTTCCCGTTGATCTTTACCGTTACGATGAGATTTCTGGCAAAGTAGAGCATTTTGGCAAATTTGGAGTTATTTATTATGACATAAATCAAATTATTACTACAGCAGTTATGACATTGAGTAAGCACTTTGATACCCATGGACGCATTAAAGAAGTTCAGTATGAAATGTTTAGATCCCTGATGTACTGGATGACTGTACAGTATGACAGCATGGGAAGGGTAACTAAAAGAGAACTGAAACTTGGTCCATATGCCAACACAACCAAGTATACCTATGATTACGATGGAGATGGGCAACTGCAAAGCGTAGCAGTAAACGACAGGCCAACCTGGCGTTACAGTTACGATCTGAATGGAAACCTTCATCTCTTGAATCCTGGAAACAGTGTCCGACTGATGCCTCTGCGCTATGACCTAAGAGACAGGATTACGCGCTTAGGTGACGTACCGTACAAAATTGATGACGATGGATTCCTTTGTCAGCGAGGCTCAGATGTGTTTGAGTACAACTCCAAAGGACTCTTAACAAGAGCTTACAATAAAGCAAATGGGTGGAGTATTCAGTACCGTTATGATGGACTCGGCCGAAGGGCTTCCTGTAAGACTAACCTGGGGCATCATCTACAGTACTTTTATGCTGATCTTCACAATCCAACAAGGGTAACTCATGTCTACAATCATTCCAATTCAGAAATTACCTCTTTGTACTACGATCTACAAGGCCATCTCTTTGCAATGGAGAGTAGCAGCGCGGAGGAGTATTACGTTGCCTCTGATAACACGGGCACTCCATTAGCAGTGTTCAGCATCAATGGCCTCATGATCAAACAGCTTCAGTACACAGCATACGGGGAGATTTATTACGACTCTAACCCTGATTTCCAGCTGGTTATTGGGTTCCATGGAGGGCTGTATGACCCTTTAACCAAACTCGTCCATTTTACCCAAAGGGACTATGATGTCCTGGCTGGACGCTGGACATCTCCTGATTACACCATGTGGAAAAACATTGGTAAAGAACCCGCTCCTTTCAACCTGTACATGTTCAAGAGTAATAACCCTCTCAGCAATGAACTGGATCTAAAGAATTATGTAACAGGTGAGACTTCACTACAATTTCTTATAAATAACACTACGCTTTGGAAGTTGATTTGGGAAAGAAATCAGACTTCTCCTTACTAGCCCTTTGCTGAATCCTCCTATCAAGGTTGGGCCATTTTCCTTTTTGTGCCATGACAAGGGCTGGCTGGTCCCTATTCTTTGATACTGCTCCCCCGGTGCAGGAATGAAGGGTGTTAAATGAGAAGCCACAGTGAATTATGGCGGGGAGGGGGAAATTGCGTAAATACTCCATTTCAGTGCAGCCGTAGTGCTCTTCCCATTGAATTAGTAGGAAGATGTGTTCTTTCTAATTTTATATGAAGAAAAGTGAAGTCAGCTACAGGAATCACTGGCAGGTGAGTTGCAGAATCGTGAACCAGAACCGCTCAGCATCTCGTCCCTTCAGGGCCCCTTTCAAAATGAACTGCTGACTGAGCCCTTGGGCACATTATGAATTATCACCAAGAATGGATTTAATTAAACCTCTTTCTTTTTCCTATTTAACTTTTAATATGCAAACAGTCTTTAGTCTTTAAAACAAAAATCTTGATGTTTTTGAGAATTATTTCCTCCTGAAAGACTAAGAAATTTTATGGAATGCGTAGAGCTCAGAAAGAGAAACAATTAAGTAGTTTTGATTGTGTATGTTAGAATTGGGTAAAACTTGTAACCTCTTCATAATTAGTAATAATTTTTCACTTAGTAAGATCACACAGTACTTGAACTAGCTGCTGGCAATTTCTGAAAAGAAAGGTAATTAATATGTCTTCAGGAAAAGCTTTTTTCAGAATTGAATATGCAGCATACAATAATTAGAGCGGTGATATCATTTTCAAAAAGGAGCTATCTTAATTTTAGCAATAATTTGAATTTCAAGAAAAATGTGCGTTTCCTTCAAAGAAAATCATAGAAAGTTTCATTAGTGTGTTGGGACATAATCGTATGGGTAACACAGCGTAGGTTCTACTGTAGCTACTTTGCAATTTGAAGGTCTTGCGATTTGTATCTGGTAGCATGAAAATATTGGTGATTAAAATTACCTTGGGATCAAATTCTGTTGTCTTAAGTTAAGTTTAACAAAATTCCTGTTCTCATCCACCACTGTTTGATTTAGATTTTCAGTGTCATGATATTTTGCTACGTTCTGAAATTGCATTCATTTAATTTATCCACCCACTGGATGAAATCTAGGAAGATAGATTGCACTTTGGTATTACACACACTTTCTAGTCTGTAAAAATACTTCATTGGTGATGAAAATATTTGTTGCTGTATGGACTAAACAGATTATCTTGCACAGGAAGCGGTTATGGTGGCACATTTGTTGTCATGGTTTATAAAAAAAAACAAACAGAAGCAAAACACAAAAAAAATACTTCCCCCCCCAATCCATTCTTACTGCTAACCACTCACGTGGCTTTATTCACAGGTTTTGCTGAAAAGGAATTCCTGTAGCAAATGCACTGCTGCAAAGCACGTTAGCTAAGCAAAATAGTAACTACTTTGTATATAGGTCCTCCTCTTTTTTTTGTGGAATGAGGGCAGCTGAAGTGAATTGTTCAGGAGATACCATTATACCATAAAATAAACTGAAGCCTTAAAAAGGAGCAGTAACCCTGTGTTGTCCAAAGCTAGAGGAAAAATGTGGTAGGCACTACGTGATGGGAGAAACATACAAATATCTTCATAGAAGCAGAGTATTACACTACTTATTTTAGTGTCAGAATGGCTAAGAAAAGATGACTTTTGCTGCCAAATGTCCACAACCAAGATGTATTACACTTTTTATGATGTAACATTACCTCTGCTAAAAACTTCGGGAAAACAGGCTTTGTGACAGCAAGCAGGTGCCGTGTTTGTGGCTAAGCACGTCCCGGAGGTCGGTATGTACGGGCGGGCGCTGTGCAGGCACTCTGTGGGCAGCAAGCAGAGCCCGCGGTGCGCCTGCCTGCTGCAGGCACCCTGCCTGGTGTGGTCTAAATTCAGGCAGCGACCCTCGCGGCGGGAGGGCCTTGCCACAGTCACATCTCTTCCCAAACACGGAGTTCAGCTCACACGAAGAAGTGGCAATAGCAGCACCAGGAGCCATTGTAGGCCAGCAAGGAGAGAAGGCCACTGGAAAAGACAAGAGAGGTTTTTAAACAAAAGTGTTCGTGAACATAAGTCCCAATCAAACGAGAAGTGCCCATGCTCCCACGCTGCTGCGTATCTCCCTGACAGCCAGAAAAGAGAAGCAAGAAACAGAAATGTGAAACTGGGTCATGGCCTTTTTTTAATTTTGTTTTGTTAAAAACATCATTTTGATAACTAAAATACATCATTAGTTCTTCATACCTGCTGAGTGAGAATTGCTTTCATTACTTCAGTTACATAGTGTTTTTTCAACTAGATAGGAAGACAGAGTTTTACTGGTCGAACCCAGAGCGGGAACTTCCCGAAGCTCACCCCAGAGCCGAACTGTAACCCTCCCGTGCAGCTCCTCCTTTTCTGCCCTGGGCCTGGAGGGATGGGGAGGATATTCATGTTACCTAGATTTAGACAGCTGAATTACAAGTCTAGCTTCTCACTGCGCTTAATGGAGCCTCCTGAGACCTGATGACAACTAACAGAAGTAGGACACAGAAGAGAAGCCATGTATTTTCCCATATGATTGTGCAGATGTTTTTAGGTGTAATAACCTAATAAAACATCATTTTACAATACAGTTTATAGGTTACAATAGCCACATCAGAAGGTGTCAGAGATGGAACAAGTATTGCATACAGGTAAAACGTTTGGATAATCCATGTGCTGTAATGGAAAAAGAATGAAAGAGGTGGTATATCCTTGATGAACTATTTAGGGTAAATTTAAAACAAATTTCCTGTGCCTGTTTATGGTGGATTAGTACAATTCTGTGAAGTGCCGTGCTGTAACATAAATTAGGCATTCCACTGCTGCTAGAAATCAAGGAGGTCAAGGATGGATTTCCTAATTTTTTTTTTTATTTATTTCTTGTATTTGTTACACACATTTGTTTCTCACTTGCCTGCTTACTTTTGATTTTTAGATGTCAAAAGCTGGTTGGTGATGTTTGGATTTCAGCTTAGCAACATTATTCCTGGTTTCCCCAGAGCAAAAATGTACTTTGTGTCGCCGCCATACGAGTTGTCTGAGAGTCAAGCATGTGAAAATGGACAGGTAGGCAGAAATATAAAGTTATTTTTCGTGATAAATTTGCCCCACTCTATGAATAGAACTGCTGGCTCTTCCATAGTTACAGCTGAAGGCCAAGTATTTATTTCAGTGTAAAATCAAGTGAGTATAGCTAGATTTTATACTAATGAACATATGCTTTTCTTGCCAGCCTTCGTTGTTATCATAATTACAGTGTCATTAGTTTGTCTTTTATTGAGTTCTTCCTTGATTAACAAGTTGTAACCCGATTAACTTGATTAGCAATGACAAAAGGAGACTTTGTCAGAGTAATTTATCACGTGCTTGTACCTTTGGTAAAACCACCCTAATAACGTATGTGTTGCAATAAACTTAGGTTGGTACTTGCTGTACTGCTAAGAAATAGTTCTGCTTCTCACCCTGCAATAGGGTTTCTCATCATTTTTTGTCTGACGCTTTTCATAGAGGCTTTGGTTTGCTACTCCAGTTACTCCAGTTAACTTCAGTTACAGCATTCATACTCGCCAGGTTACGGTAGAAAATGGCATATGCTTTCGACCTTTATAATAAATTCCACCCCATTTAATAAACTTAAAAAGAGTACTAGGCCAATTTCAAACTAAGTCTACGCTAAGCTCACTTCACATTTGTGGTAATACAACTGAAATGGTCGTATAAACCTAAACATACTGCTTTTGCAGGCTTCTAAGTCACTTGAGAATCTAAATCCCCTCTTCAGGAACCGCATTGGTATTTTGGAGCCCAAATCTCATCTATTTTCAAAAAGACTTCCATTATAAGCATTTTAGTCATATATACTGGTTGAAATCTCTGGGCAAAAGTGTCCAGAAGTTAAATGCCATCTTTTAATAAATTGATTCTGTTAGGTTTAAGCTCAGATTAAAATTGTGCTAGTCTTGGGCCTTACTTACTTATTCTTGTAGCAGACATCATATAATTTGCCAAAATTGAGATCTGTGGTACATATATACTACAAAGAATGATGATGAATGAGTGAAGTATTTTATTTGGTATTACTGGTAGAAAAATAATTTGCCAAATGAGTATTTACCCGATACTGAATGGGATATGTATAGGGGCGGGTAGCTGAGGATCGTCTTCCCATAGTGTAGGATTTTTCACTGCATGACTTTTCTTTTAAAAAAGCACAGCAAATCTTGGTATTGGTGTCCGAAATGAGGATTTTCAGATTTGTATCTTATTTGGTGGTTCTTTTTGTTCTGTTTTGTTTTCCCCAGCTAATTACAGGAGTTCAGCAGACAACAGAAAGACACAACCAAGCTTTCATGGCTCTTGAAGGACGGGTCATATCTAAAAGATTACATGCCAATATTAGAGAAAAAGCAGGTCACTGGTTCGCAACAACCACTCCTATCATTGGGAAAGGAATCATGTTTGCTGTGAAGGAAGGCCGTGTAACCACTGGCATTTCCAGCATAGCCACAGATGATAGCAGAAAGATTGCCTCTGTCCTTAACAGTGCTCACTACCTGGAAAAAATGCACTACAGCATCGAGGGGAAGGATACCCATTACTTTGTCAAGATAGGCTCGGCTGACAGCGACCTCGTCACCCTCGCAATGACCAGCGGGCGGAAGGTCCTGGAGAGCGGAGTCAACGTCACCGTCTCTCAGCCCACTCTGCTCGTCAATGGGAGGACTCGAAGGTTTACGAATATTGAGTTTCAGTATTCCACCCTGCTGATCAACATCCGCTACGGACTGACCCCCGACACGCTGGACGAGGAAAAGGCGAGAGTCTTAGACCAGGCTCGGCAGCGAGCCCTGGGCTCAGCCTGGGCCAAAGAGCAGCAGAAGGCACGGGATGGCCGAGAGGGCAGCCGCGTGTGGACAGACGGAGAGAAGCAGCAGCTTCTGAACACGGGAAGGGTTCAAGGTTACGAGGGATATTATGTCCTGCCCGTGGAGCAGTACCCAGAGCTAGCAGACAGTAGCAGCAACATCCAGTTTTTAAGACAGAATGAAATGGGAAAGAGGTAACAAATTAACCTGCTGTCATCCTTTGCTGGATGAATCAGTAGTCATAACTGTTATCTCCTCTCCTAAGGAGATGAAGACCTAAATGGGGGCACTAGGCTGAGCTACTTTGGGATAGTAAGTGGCAAAAAAGCTCGTATTTTTTGAGTTAAATGCTACTGTTCAAGTGATTAAAAACCACATCCTGAAGTGGACTAAAGCCAGACTGAAAACTCTAACCATACAAATTAAAAAGTACCCCTGAAATATTACCCACTTGTTCTGGGTCTAAAGAAAAACAAACAGAAGGCCTCGTATTGTATTACCTCACTCCATTCACACGTGAGTAAACTAAGAAATCCAAGTGGGCCACTTTTCACTAACCAGCTGATGAAACACAGATGATTCAGACTGCTTGTTTGATAAATATCCAAGAGGTTTTCATTTAAAGCAAAATACAGGTGCATTTAAAACATGACTTTGGGGTGATTTGTGTGTAGCAACTGGAGGACAATGAGAATGCAAGTGAGAGTGCACTGGAAATAGTAAAGAAAAATATATTTAAAAGTAACAAAACCACACTTGCACTCTGACCCTCCACTTGTCTGGCCTGAAGCTTAACTTATTCAAAGAGGGCAGAGTGTAAGGTTACATTCAAAATGGTGGCTATAAATCACTACAAATAAATTTCATACTCTGTTTGTCTTTGAAGATTTCCATTGTGGACAGTATAACACAGTTACAGGGTGTAGTCTGTTTAGATTCAGTAGTTTGTTGGTATCAGTTCCAGTAGAGCTGTGGGCATTGTGTTACACTATTGCAAATGGGCACCACGTCAGATCACCCTGTACATACATCAGCCAGAAGGCACAATCACTGTTTCAGATTTAAAAATTATTAGTGTGTTTGTTTGGTCGAGAAACTGAGACAATCACATTACAGTCACCACAAAAAAAAAAAAAAAAAAAAAAAGTCTAATAAGAACTTTGGTACAAGAACTTTTTTGTAATATACATGTATGAATTGTTCATTGAGTTTTTATATTAATTTTAATTTGCTGCTAAGCAAAGACTAGAGACAGGCAAAGATAATTTATGGCAAAGTGTTTAAATTGTTTATACATAAATAAAGTCTCTAAAACTCCTGTGAATTACTTGTCTTCCATTGTGAAATCTTTTTAAGGTGAAAAAAATACTAGTCTCTCACTGCCACCTAATGCACGCAGCGTCTTGTTTGTTGAAGTGACGTGCTGTACCATGGATTCTATAGAGGGCTGGTCCTTTGATCTCTGGGTAAGCAAAGTCCTACACACACACACATCACCCAAAACCCTGTTTAGGACACAGCAGAAAATTGCTAAGTGCATGCTTTAGAAATTCCCTCTCTGCACTTCATGGCTAGCAGCCCTCAAACTGCCGTGCTTCAACCCTGGAATTAGTTTATTTGCACTAGAGTAACATCCAAACAATTTGAAAATGCAGTAACTTAATATTAAATGGAACATGGAAGGCTGTGCTGTGAGCCAGGAAGTCTCCATGAAATCTGTCATCTTTGGGAGATTGCTTATTTCTACCACATTTAAAAACCCTCTCCTAAGCAAAGTCACTCCTGATGATGTTAAAAGGGAACCATCCATCAGCCAGAGCCCTGCTGCTTTCATCTCATTTAAGTATGTAGCTAGGGAGCTCTACTTAATTTTGAGAACAGTTTTGCTTTTGGGGTTGCAAATGAGGTTTTTAATGATTCATGATATCGACAGAGATGCTTGAGTTGATTAGGGGCATTAATTCACTCCAGGGCATTTTTCAAGCAGAGCAGCTCAGTGGCTGTGGTGTATAACACCTATAGCACTCAGAAAGCGTGTCTAATTTTTGCAGTGCAAACAAGAGCCATCCCATTCTGACCAGAGCGTTACACCTACACGTTTACCCTACGCAGCGGACGCAACGGAACCCCACACCCTGTTGGTCATCCCCTGAAGGATGAGTCTGGGTACGTGCTCGGATGAAGTCCCGTGTGTCCATCACTGCAGATGGTTTTCTGTGCTGATGGCCTTGAAGTGCTGTTACGTTATCAGACTGTTCTTTACAAGTGAAACCTCTTTAAAAGTATTGTTACTTTCTTTTAATGGAGTCATAAAACATGAAATCACAAGGTGGAGACACCTTTCATTATCACAATTTTTCTGTATTACCCTTGCCCTGTATTGGTAAGCTGCTTAGGTAATTTTTTGGAATGGAATTTTTCTTGCAGTTCAGAGGGTTGAAATGAGAACCTGTTGCACAGTCCCTGATGTCCTTTTTTCCATTACTATTCTTCTAAAGCTGAAATTGGAGATTCTGCTACTTCAAAAGGAAACTTAGTTAAACTAAAAGTGAAGTACCTTTTTTAATATTAATTACTATGGCAGGAGATGTAACAGATTTGCAGGGTACGCGCTTCCTACCCAGCTCCTTTGCAAACAACATATGCAGCATCAGCATGTCCTTAAACACAACTTTTGAAAGCGGTCCAGTCCTGCTAGCTAAATGCTCACCAGAGGCCATTTATCCAGGGCTACCTAGAGTTTCCAAAGCCTGTGTGCAACTTGGCACAGGTCCTGCACAAAGCCCCAGCGATACACTTGGGCTCTTGCATGCAACTAACTAGTGTGCTGGATGCGACCAAGGTCATTCCCAACCTTTCCTCCTGGCTCTGCCACTACACTTTCTGTTCCCCTACAGACTTCCTGACGCATTTAACAGTGTACCTACATGGGCAAACCCTCCCAGCCTGTCCTTGTGGCAAGTAAACTGTACTATGTCCAGTTACTTAGAAAACCCTTGGAAGAATTACTGTATTTTGTAACAATGACAGAGAGCTAGATGCTCTCATGTCTGGAAGAATGGCTGACTTTTAGAGGCCATACTAAAGAGCTTTTCACTTAAAGAACGGGGGAAATAACTGCACCGATATGGCCATGGCCAGCCACTTACTGCCTCCTCTCTTGTGGTCCCGTCTGAGCTTCCCGTGTTTCTTGAGGTATCTTTTCCCCGCCCTTTTTCCTTCTACAACTCTCCCTTTCCTCGCTCCCCTCAAATTGGTACGCTCTGTTCCTCTCAAAGCTCTTGCTTTTCCTCTCTCCTCTTTGCTACGCTTTTCATATGGAACAGGCGATTAACCTAAAGCCACACCAAGGAGATCCCATGAACTGGCAGCTTTAACAGTGACACTGCAGCTGTGTCCCCAACAGAGTTGCGACCAGGACAGGCCAAGGACCTGGCCTAAGAAGTGCTTCTCACTGGGGGAAGGCGCAGCGCATGAGCCCAGGCCAGCCCAAGAGCTACGAATGTTGGTTTGCCCTTCTAACTTACTCAAGCGTAAGCGAAGGTATCTGCAGAACGAACACAAATCCAAGAACAGGCTTCTGTTTGAAGCTAAAACCAGATGGAAAAATCAGCATTAGAGTACGTTTCCTTTTTTCCTATTGGATTGCTGTAACTGAAGGAATTTGGTATTTATAACCTTGCATTTCAGCTTGAAAAAACTGCTTTGCACTTGGCTGGCTGTGTAGGCATGTGTCTCGGCACACCCTGCTCCTCACCAGCACTAGTGTTTTGCCTCTTAAGGTTGCGCTCCATGGCATTATGTCCACATTATAGCAGTTCTGCCCTTGAGACGCTCAGAGGTACCAGCCTTTGCCTCCTTCGTCCACACGAATCCCCCAGCAGTGCCGTGTCAGCTTTCCTTAGCGGCCTCAGTGCATCCCAAACAAAGGCACCAACAGAAGCTCCTCCTAAAGCTGGGCCAGACCAATGGATCCACAATACTCTCGTGGGAACAAATATGGGGAAGGAAACTTTTAGATCCTCTTGGGTTTTTTTACTTTGCTACTTGGATTGCAAAGGCTGATGCATGCACACACGCTGGGCTCTGAGAATGCACAGGGCCAGTCTGAAACCTGCATGGGACTCTGGCTCTGGTATTGTTAGTTTTCACCTCCCATCCCTTGGGTAATGTAGCCTCTCAGAAGTTTCCAGCCAGAAACGTATGTGCCAACAGCATTCTGCCACTGTAATAGGCCCTTGATCCTCATGTAGCCCCGGCTCACTCTCGCTGTAAGAGCAGAAGAACTAGATATCCCTTATCTGCACTGGACATGACCATAGCAGCTCCTCCCAAGGCTCTCTCCTGTTTGTTGGTCAAGAGTTTCCTGTTCAAACAAGGATCAGCCTTCCCCTGAATCCAAGAAAACCACATCAGAACTGAGTGCCATTGCATAATTTGCATTTACTGCTTTGTGCTATAATTTCTGTCAGGTTGACCCTTTTGCCAACAGTCTTGCGAACACTTCTAAAGTCCTCAGTGATGATCGAACATGAGAATATGTTCGACATTCAGCTTTGAGGCTACAGCCCTAGGAAACTCAAAAGGTCAAGTTTCTGTCACCCTATCATACCGTCTTATGTTCATCTGGTGATCTTGCAGGAGAACCACGTTAAGGTCAGTCATATACTCCGGTGGCCTGTATTTTAACTGTGCATCTGTTCAAAGGTGAGATCTTACCTTACAAACTAAGGTAGGATGGCCTTACAAGTCCTACACCATCCAAATCTTAAGGACAAGGCCCTTAATCTCAGGAAAGATAGATTTTATCTGGAAGACCTCCTATAGCTATAATTTTTTCTCCAAAGAGGAACTAAGAGTAGATGGCCCTGGGCAATTTTGAATGTGGGAATGGGGCTTTACTAGCCAGGTGCAGAGTGTAACAGGCTCCCTGGCTTTAGCTAAGCTGGAACCCTCTGCCTCTGAGCTTTTCTGCCAACAAGGAAAGTTCCTCCCCAACCTCTTTAGGTACAGCCTGCAGCATAAAGGTTTTTTTATTTACAAGGATTATTTAGTTTAAACCTTACTCATTGCATTTGAAATCTGCCACTCCTCTGGAATCAAACTTGCTTCTCCACCTCAGTGGCACCAAGGGCTGCATGCTCACAGAGGAGCTTAAGACAGGGTCATCATCCACCACAGTATAATAGTCGCTGAGGCAGCAGCAAAAGGCATTTTACTCACCAGATCTCTGAATTAACAGTCCAAACTTGCAGCCTTACAGTCACTTTCAGCCTATGGAAAATAGCGAAGGCGTGCTGGCTTCTAGCAGGTGGCTCCATTGGGCAGAGGTTGTCACAGGTGGGTTCTGGAGCCGGTAGGTACCAGTATACATACATTAAATGCTGTAACTGCTTGTTTAGGACCATAATATCTGAACAATTCTCTCTCCCTTGCCATGTGTTGACTGTCATTTCCCTAATAAATGCAGCTTTATGCAATACTTGAACATGACCAAGAGGTCTAGAAAGGCAAATACTATTGCCAGCATCAAAGCTTTTTCTGCTTCTGTCTAACCCAACACAGCAGTGCTGGGCAGATCTAGAGTAGCAGTCACGAACTGCATGTGTCTAAAGGAACACCTGACAGACAATTACCTGAGCTACTAGAAAGAGCAAGTGACATTTAACAAGCAGCCGAGACTGGGTGACACAACAGTCAGCACAACACACTTTGTAGCACCCTCACAGCTGGACCCATCACAGTAATGGGCTAAGTTGGTAATTTTAATCTCAGCTGACCAAGGGCTCACTATGCCAGCTCAGCCTCCCCATCACCACCACCGAAAATAACTAAAAACTGAGAAGTAGAAGCACAGTGTGATGTGCTCAGGTACCCAAGTCAGGCATTCAGCCAGACAACCCGAGCAAGGAAACAGCTTGGCAGAGAAGGCAGGGACACAACCCTGCAGCCTCTCCCACACATTCTTTGGGTGGCTGCCTGCGAGCACCCTGCATGCTGCTGGCCGGTCAACCTCTGCAACCACCGGCCCCAGGAGCCGCTTCTTAACCTGGGGAACGTGGGGTTTGTATGAAGGCAAGAGTCAGTGCCCCAGCTGATGCCTTGCATCCACCCATGTGCTTCAGTTCAGCTGCAGCTTGGCAAGTTCCACCAACTCTGCCCACACCTCCCCACACCTCCTGTGGCAGAAGCGGGGTGTTCCTCTTTCCAGGAGTTCTGAAGTAGCTCTTCAAAATACATATCTCATGTAACAGGTTAGGCCTTCCCTTATTTCCTTGTTTGTTAAAATATGTGTGTAGCACCTTAGCCTCTGCCGAGGATTTA